TTAAGCACTGTGAACTGGATCCACAGTAGACAAGGGCTTCCTTGGTTCAGCATGGACGTTTCATGGGAGAATCACCAAGCTCTCCCCAAGTGTTCTGCCAAACGACGCCCACCTCACCTAGGCTCATTTTCACGTCACGATTCAAAGCTACAGGCTGGAGGGTAGGAGCAACTTTCCCCAAGGTGATGCAGGACAAGGTCCTGTCCACAGGTAAGCACAGATGTTCCTAGCGCAGATGTCTACGTGGCTGCAGAGTGCCAGGTTCCCGCATCAGACAGGCTGCTCAGTTATAACATACTCAAGATGGTTTACCCTAGTGGCAAGTCACACACACACTCGTTGCGATTTAGCCTGGCAGAGCTGGAGAAGGCCAAGAGTGGTGGTGTACACATTCAGGGCAGAGAAGGGGCAAGCTCCAGGTGGGGAAAGGAAACACAGCTTAGCCTCCTTCCACTTGCAGCATAAATACCCTACCCCGACAACACCAAGAACAGCGAAGAACAACGCAAGCACCACGAGCTTCCTCAAATGAACACTGCCATTTTCTAAAACACAGAGAAGAGAAAAGACAGCCCCCAAAGGTCCACAGGTGGGAACAGAGGCGCAAAAGGGGCAGAGATTCACCCAGGATATCCATGTCCCCAAACTAGCTGACTCCTAACCTGATGCTTTTCCCAAGGTCATAAGGATATTTGGGACCTAGAGCAAGTAACAACCCCCATTATGATCTCTGGCAGCACTGCCCAGCCTTCGGAGCATCCTTGTCTCGCTTCAGACATAGCCTGCTGGGCTCGTCCTTCCTCCAGTGCTAAGTCACGGGAAAGACCTGCCTGCTTGGTGGAAGCGCTTAGAGATCTCGCAGGTAGTGCACGCTATTAGTAATTTCCAGCTAAGCCATCCCCAAGACAGACTGAGTGCTCTGAGATTGTCAGAGAACAGAAATAGAGTTATCTCCATTGTGATGCGATTCATGCTATTTCATCATACCGAGTTTTACAGGATTAAGTTTCCAAACTCAGCCAGGACACCCCATTTATTCTAGCAGTATAATTAGAAAATCTGCCATGCAGGATGCCAAAAGGAAGGGAACATAGAGTTCGCTCGCTCTCATCACACGCTACAACAGCCCCGTGCCATCACTGTGTTTGCTTGCTCTTAGTACATTATTATTTTTATAGCACCCAGATGCGTGCTTAGGTGCTTTATGGCACAAATAAATTAAAGCTCTACAAAACTTGTTGTAGGGGGCAATCCCACATTAGCAGAAGTACAGATTAGAATAGATGACCTAGAAGAACTTAATCAGAGGGGAATAAACCCAGAAAATTATAGACAGACTTGATTCCTGCAAGACGTTGAGCATCTCAGGCATTGTTACTACTACCGCTCTCAACACCAGGAGGATCTTCCTGGTCATCAGAGGAGTTTCCGAAATACCTCCACGCTCACATCACATCTCCAACAACCCACTTCTCACATTTCTGCAAGGTCCCATTGATTTAAATTGGTCTCTGCAGAGAAATCAGGGCCGTAACAAGTCTCAATTCCTAAATGAACTGCTTAAATCAAACACACTTAAAGGTCAAGGCTATCAAACTTTCTCTGCTCACTTTTTAAAGAAAGTTTCTTGCTTTGAATAAAACTCACTGTGGGGAGATAATCACAGCACCCAAGGACTGCCTGTTACACGATTACACGCAGACAGATCAGCAGCAAGGAATTAAGGGACTTTTTGGGGCAGAGATCAAGAAAGGGGAGGAGGAAGGAAAAGGGAGAAACTGGGTTTGAGAGAAAACAACAGTTACTACCAATTGAACCTCACTCTCACAAACAAAAAAACAAGAGGCCCTTAAGGAAGTGGCCAATACCCACAAGAAACGGCCACACCAAAATGCTTGACTTCTCTGCAACGGAAGTCCATCCCCCTGGCCTGTGACTCCTCTGCTTTCTCCTCCTCCTCCCCAGGCCTTCAGGAAGGAGCTCCCAGGGCAGGGTCACCTCACTGCCCACAGTCCCAAAGCAGCCCCCAAACCTGCACAGCCTCCCCCGAACCTCATAGAGCACCTCAAGTGTCTGCAAAGTGGCAGCCAGAAGCTCCTGGGAGACTTCACTGCTCCCAGTTATCCCCTGCTGGAAGTCAGGGTGGATGGAGACACAATGCCCACCTCTCTATAAGCCTTCTCCCAGCTCATTGCCCTCCCTTTCTTGCATCTGGATCCACGCCAAGCCCTCCTAGAGGGCTGGCCTGTGAGCCCAAATCCTCCCAACCATCCCAAGGTAGGGAGATAGCTAGCACAGGCCCTCCTGCCCTCCTCTTTCTTCCTAAAACACATGTGTTGCCATTATGAAGGCTACAACAAGATCCTCCCCAAGCCTTCCTTATTCTCTCCAAAACTAAAACCAGGATAATAGCAAGATCCTTCCTCCCTAAAACCTACACAATAAGGGAGGCACAGCACCATCCTTCCAGGACATTGGAGGTGTGATAAGAGACCCACACATCTCATTCTCAACTGCCATCTTCAGGCACAGGTACCTAGAGAAACCAGAGTGGCTCTGCATGGTTCAAAACTGGACCAGCCTCTTATTCACATGGCCGCTCCTCAGAAACTGGAGGAGCAAGAACCCCTCCCAGGAAATGGGGCTCCAAACCAAGACGCCACCTTATTTGTAAGGTCCTTTCTGCCACATGCACTGGGTGAGGTCAGGACCCATCCCCTTATCCACCAAATCCACCTGGGAGGACAAAGTGATGCTTCTCTCCACATGGAGGAGGTGCATGCTTTAACCATCGCTGACACATGGGAGGTGGGGAGATGAAAGCTCCTCCTGGAGCTGGAGGTGAAGGATCCCATCTGTAAGCAGCCAGGAGCAGGAGAGCACAATGCCACCCCTCTTTTGGGCACGTGCTCCTCCCAAAAGAGATGCGAGGTGAGTATTACACCTGAAGAGCTGGGGGAGCCCACAGCCAGCCCCTCACAGAACCACATGCCAGTGGGGAAAGGCTCCCCCCACTCAGCCCCCAGGGCAGGAGGGAAGAAGGCCAAGACCAGCATGCCCCCAGAGCTCTGGTAGGGTGTGACAACACCTCAAGTCCCAGAGCGGAGAAGGAGAGGGAGGAAAAAACCCCCCCCCCCCCCCCCCCCCAGGAAGTACAGGGGACCATGGCCAGCTCCCCTCCCATTTCCAAGGAGTCCCCAAGAGCTGCAAGGGGGAATGGACAAGTGCCCCCATCACCAGGGCTGGGGGAACATGGCCAGGCTACAAGAGATAGGGGGGAGGGGAGCCAAAATCAGCTCCCCAAAAGCCCCAAGGCTGGGGGAAGGTGTGTGACCAGGCCCCCAGGAAATACAGGGGCACATGACCGTTTATATCCCCCACCCAAAAAACAAGGAGTGGCAGAGGATAACCTCCACCCACTCCACAAATCCCGAGGAGGGAAAGGGCATGAGCGCTATCCCTCCATAATGCTAGGAGGATGACCGTTATCCCCCCAAACCCCGAGGGGGAAGGGGAGGACCGTTACCCCCCCCCAACACACCCCAAGGGAGGAAGTGTGACTGTTACCTCCAAATTCTGAAGGGAGGTGACCATTACCCCCCAATCCTGGGGGACAGGGATGCCTAAGCCCAACCCCCTCGGGAGGGGATGAACTCTCCAGCCCGGGAGAGGGAGGAGTGGATGTCCCCCACCTCCCCCCAAGATCTCGGGGGAGGTAACGGACCCCCCCAAACCCCAGGATTTTGGGGGACCCGCGCCCAGCCCCGCTCAGACTGGGGTGGCCCGTCCCGCCCCCCCATAGGCCCGGGCGCCCCTTGGCCCTTCTTCGCGGTCCCCCCCCGGGCCGGGGGCCCCTCAGACCGGGCCCGGCGGCGGCGGTAACTGCGCCTTC